ACGTAGGTTTGACCGGAAAGGAGAATGCACTAGTTCCATCGCTTCACGAGTAAATCTAATCCATCTGTCCATGAAACAGATTCGGAAAATATAAAAATACCTAATAGATAAATATATTTCTGGAAAAAATTTCTAACTGATCGTTTTGTGTAAATATAGACTTCTAACTGTGTGATTTTTCGTCAAGAATGGTTATCTCGCAAAAACAGTTTCCTTACATAATCGAAAACCGCAATGGTAACGAGCAGCGATACTTTCAGATTATGTAGTACACTTGCAATCGCAAATTTTCAAAGTTAACCGAGATTAAAAATGATTCTTCAACAACAAAATCTTCCCAGTACTTCACTATCATGTGCTAAGCTTTCATTTTACTTGATTCTGATATTTTTGTAACTAATTAACCGAAACCGGAGGGCACGACAGCTTCAATTTATCAATCAAACTCAAGGAATAACTTGCTACTGTGTTTAAGATTTTTACTGAGTTTGGCAAATCGGAATATTCCATTTAACTTTAGTTTAGAGAAATCAATCAAAATAGACGGGTAACTTTCAGCTAAGAAACTGAAATTTTTAACGAAGATAAAACAGAAAGTTCACGTGAGAAATGTCCACAAATATAGCTGAACTGTTTTTGAAAAGATGACTTCACCTTAGTTGCTTGACAAGACCGGCTTAACGAAAGCAAAATTTAATTGCTCATTCGCTGCCCTCTCAAATTGTGACAATCAGTGAAACAGAAATTTTATCAAATGCGAAATTTCTATCAATGTTTAAGATATAAGTTTTCTAAAAATCGAGTTGTTGAAATGATTTAAAGACAACTATCTCGCAGTTTAAAAATCAAGTTTAAACTTACCTCGAGTTCTTCGATGTCCTTCACTTTCGATTTGGCTAGGATCCAACAGCACTACAATGATGAAAATCGTTGCGAGTCGTCGTGGAAGAAGCATTTTACAAATAACTGCTTTAAAATTAGTATCTAAGCCATATTGACAAGATGACTTTCCACCGAAACTGAAAATGTCCGTTTACTTGCGCCAGCGAGACGTCATTCACAGGCTTCCCGCCAGTAACGTCAGCGTTTTTGGTAGGGTGGAGTGGGTAAGCCGAAAATTGTTACCTTCTAAGGAATCGATTTCGGCGCTTACTTTATCGTCGTATAGATTTTGTTGTTTTTATCTTTTTTTCTTAGTGCAACTTTTTTTCATTGCTGAATCTGTGGATTTACTAGATATTTTTGTCACCACAGTTATCACTATTCTGCTAATCTTAAGGTCAGAGTGGGTCAATAGCCCGCATATTCAATCAGGTTTTCAGCCCCGTTCTCTAAGATTTTTACGGCAATTTAACCCTACGATTAGCTCATTTTTTCTATCGCCGTTGTTTTGAACAACTGATTTCCATACGATTTCAATGCAATTTGGAGAATTAATAGCAGTTGCGCTTTTTACCGCTGGTTCTGTCTTGGTATTTCCACAGTGAGCGTAATACGTCAATGCAGAGCACTGGATACCTAAAGGTTTGGAGACTCCTACAGTCTTCTAAACATGCACCTCTACTAGCTTTAGAATTGCCTAACCCATAGTGCAGTGTTAAGCAATTATTGAACAGGGGGGGGAGGGGAAATATCCTTATTTTTTCAATTTAATGATGTGGCGCGTTTGTCTTCAATTCGATTACAGAGTTTTAGTTTAATCATGATTTTCGGAAATCTCTCACTGACAACTTAAAAGAACGAATGAGAGAGCAATGAATCAAAAGGAAAGAACTGTACAAGAGCAGAATATGACTTCCCATATAACCTGAAAATTTTGGGCGAGTTTTCTTTCGCAGATGATAATTATTGCATGCTGATTTGCGGAAACAGATTTTTGCGGGTCGCAATCAATAAAATTTGTTATGGTAACTAATTTCAAGTTGCGATTTTCTCTCAAAACTGCGGAATTTTATCGAGAGAAGAACATAAAATTTTATTTCTGAATTCACTACTTTGTGTTAAATTATTCAAATGGGTGCGTCAAGGTAACTGATTCGTTCCGGCGATTCAAGCAAAATAAATTAATTCAAAATCATTTTCATTTTTCTAGATTTTTTGTGCGGAAAAGTGCTTAAAATTTGCTGAAAATTTTTATGCCACGCAGCACAGTATTACAAGCAGACTATCATTTGCAGAGTCATTTTCAGGTCACGTGGTGGACTTGCAGTGAATGGAAAGGATTCAGATTTTATGTCCACTTGACATCTCCCGCTGAATTACAAACCGGGAGTCTCCGGTCTGCACATGCGCGGCTTATGGTTTATCATACATGACCAAATTATCTATCGATGGCTCTTTTATGTTCAATTGCCTTTCAAGGTCTGTTTTTGTTATTTCATTTAACTAGCAGGTGGCTGTAGTAGTTTCTTACATTGGTACCAGTCGGTGTTAACTTCTGAAACCAAACCAGGAGTTCATTACCAACGTCGTAAAAAGTAAAAAGATTTTCAAAGAAGGTGCATGTTTCATCGATCGCGTCTCTTACTCTGACAAAGATTACAATTTGACGCCACGAGGTAACAAATTGACAACATCAGAATTTTTTTTCTCATTAAAATTTTATTTCTACCCGTAAATTTAATTTAACTCGAAAATCTTTCCTTCAAGAAACCAGAACTAGTGCAAGCCATTCCGTTTTTAAAAAGCACCCATTCTTAATTTTACCAATTAAAATTAAATCGTACAAAAATTAGGCCAAAAGAACCTGTTATTTCTACAAAACTACATAAGTCTGTTAGCAGGTACATATATATATTATTGCTGTGAAAGCAAATGTCTACCTTGTAAAACGAAATGTTTAAACTAGTATATTTCCTACGGGTTACACAAGGCGACGGCATTCACAATTTGTTCAACTGCTTTCTAGTTCGATAGAAAAAAAAGTAATATTTTACATAATACTTGAAAAAAGAGACCCGATTTTTTTAATATATATATATTGCATCAATTTGTCAATTCAGGGTGTGGCAGATAGAAAACTAAAACCTCATCAAAATTTACAAATATTCGTAATTCTCTCCCTAAAATGTTGAATATTCTACGCAAAAAATGATAAAACATTTCCAAAAGAGCATCAGAGAAAAAACCGTCTCTAATTTCCAAATAAAACTTCCACTTGTTACACTGGAAGCCTCATACGAAGCTCTCACCATAAAATATTATTTATCATCTTTGCAAAGTTTTTTCAACTCCTACTTTGCTCATCCGAGACCATAAAAATATGTTCCAACGCTGACTTCAGATTGAAGGAGAATTTTGTAAACGTTCTTGATTCCCGCCTGCCCAATGTTTCTTGAGTCTTCACCAGTAACTAAGAATTCGCAAAACCAATAACTATATCCGTGAATTAAGTGGTAGTTAAATTATTACACAACAACAACCTTGTTCCTCTTCCTCAATTTTTTTCTCTTCATCTTTCTTTTCCGGCAAGCAGTCGGAAGTAGCCGGTTTCTCGGGATCTTTTTTCTCGTCTGCTTCCCCTTCGCCTTCTTTGGCCGCATCTTTATCACCTCCTTCACCATCCTGAGCGCCACCTTCGTTTGCATTCTCCTCCGCAGGTTTTTCTCCTCCTTCCTCGGCTGGTGCGGCGGCGTCCTCTGCAGGCTGCTCACCTTCAGCCGGTGCTTCGGCCGGGGTTTCCTCAGCGTCTGCCATTGTTAAAATTTGAACTAATAATAAGCACTTCTATGAGCTTGCAAACACTCGACTTTACTCCTCCACGACATATAACGTTGTTTATAACCAAACAACCTCTCTATGCTTTCAACTGGCCACGCGCGAAATGATATAAAATATTTACAACGCGTTCAGTTAGCTGGTTCCTATGGTGATGCTTGTCAACCCTCAAAAAATGACAGCCCGTTCAGACTGTCGACCAATAAGATTGCGATATTTAGCTTTTTTCATGGGGTTTATACCGTTCCACCTGCTTTTTCTCTCTGCATAAGATTGCAAAATGTTGGCGCGCGAACGCAAGCTTACAATATCAAACTGTTGATTTACCTTTTGTAGCCAATTTTTTCCTAAACATTACACTTAGCAGGTCTTTCTGTACCAGCTCTGAGTGGCGTGAAAATAGCAAAGGAAGGTAACCGTTAAATTTGTGAGTTGGCTTTTTTTCGGGGTTGCAAGACAAAATATTTTGTCGTCTTCTAACGCTATCGCGTCACTAACATTACAAAACAAACCCCTGCTATGTAAACCTGTTGCATTTTCCCGAGTATTCCGTCCCCACCCAATTTGAGGCGAACTCAAAGCGAAATCACGATCAAATCGAAAAACTGGTTAAAATAAACAGCTTTTTAAAGGCTCCATATGAAGAAAACCATTTATCTAACGATAAAAATTCAACGATTTTGGGAAACAAGACGTGACTTTCCTTAACTAAAACGTTCCTTAAAATACTCCTTCTAGGTAAATCTCAGTTCAACATTAAGTCTTTTTTGTAGTGTTGTAGATGTAGTTACTTCAGCACTTGATTTTACCAGCAGTTAACGAGTTATGTCAAGTATTCTCGATTGCATGCGGTCAAGTGTTTAGTAAATAGTTTCGTTTCGGCGGAGTATTTTCTTTTGAAATTATAACGTCCTAATCACGTGTTTCCCATATGCTTTCTATGACGTAATGCTGTACCAGTACTTTAGCCGTCGCATGCACCTCACTGGCGCTTTGGTAGTTGATAGTAGCCCTAGATTCCATCACACAAAAACTGCATTGTGTTAAACTGTTTTTAACACACCTTTTTTGATAACAATCGTGCGATCGTATCTAGCCACCACGTTTGTTTTCCATTTTGGCACTTTGAAAACTCGCGCCTTGTTCGTACCCAGATCTCGCGCGGTCTAGAAACCCCATGGAGCCTCCCAAAATAGAGCTCAGAATAAAATTTGTCTTGGAACTATGGAAGCAAGGGGCATCTAATTATTCTAATGACCGTTTTTTGCTTACAATAGAAAAGATTCTTTCACACTGGTTTAATTTATTTTGCTTTAAGCAATGAAACTAGAATCCTTTAAGTGAGCTACACGCCACTCATTAACGGGATAAATTCTGTGCCTTTCGTCTGGTCGCTTTCGCGCCATCTTTGTCACCGATCTTTTCAAGGCATTTTGCCAGCCAGTGGTAGCCAAATGCTTTGTCAGGCCTCATCAGGATGAGCTGAAAATCAATTCAAACGGAAAACTTGTTCATGTCAATGGATTTATTCGTTGATTGTTTGTGAGAAGAGTGAATAGAAAAGCTAACTAAACAAAGTTTCCTTCAAGTGTCTTGTTTACCTTTTTGTAATAGACTGCTGCCTTTTGATAATCACTCTGAAAAATGAGAGCAGAAAAATTGCTCAGATCAATGTTAGTATCTAAGCAACTGCGCACCTACCCCTCCCCTAAGCTAACATTAACTCTAACTTGTTATTAGTTGACTGTTGTTGGGTCAGGGGAGGGGTAGGTGTGCAGATTCTCAGAAAATGACATTGGTCCAAATAGGACTATATAAGCGTTAAGTAGCAAAACGTAGTATAATCAACAATTTTGAATCCTATTTGATTCATGTTGAAAAACCAGCCAAAATGAAAAGGGCACTGTTTCACGGCAGGAAAAAGAGAGAAAAAATGACGCAACTAATGTATTGGAATGCTTACATTGAAATGCCTCTTTTTGGGGGAAAGGGATTGATACGTAGATTGACTTTTCTCTGATGCAGCTCGTAAATGGGAGTTGCCTAAGGGGCTTATATAACAGGACGAAAGTCTTTGCCACAAATAATGAGCTTACAATTGAGGCGAAGAGGGACTAGGGTTAACCGTGGGAGTAAATCATCGAGGCTAACCCCAGGGGTTAGCTTTGAGAGTTAACCCTTAGGGGTAACCCCTAGCAGTTAGTTTTAACCTTGAACTGAGAGGTTATAGTTGCTTGTTTTATTCCTAGACAAACAAGTTGCAAGATCATCGTACCTTTTCATAAAGAAACTCTCCATAGTGAATATGTCCATCAAAACTGTCAGGGTGAACTTCAAGGGCTTCTTGAAATAGCTGGTCAGCTTTTTCTGTATTACCATCTTGATCGTAATACCTGGCAAGGTCGAGTTTAGCGATTACGAAAAAGGGATCCATTTTCACAGCTCTCTTTAGGGTCTGTGGGGAAAGAGATAAGGGGAATCTTAATAGAACTGTCGTGAGTAGGCAATATGAGGTAAAGAATTTTTTTCTGATTGAATACCTGAGCGAACAAGGCGGCGATATCCTTTATTTAAGATCCACTCTTGATCTTTTTCTTGGGTGTCGATTCAAATTAGTTATATCTCTTAGTTGGTGCGTGCGTCATGATTTGTCACTTAGCGGGCCATATTTCACCGTACAGACCACTAAATTCAACCTCAGTTTTTTCGTAACTCAACGTACGCACCTCGAACTCGGTTAGCAAAAGGTATGTATGGCACGGAAGAACTAAATCGCTTCAAAATAGGCCACTGTACTCTTTATTATGAATATTTGAGTGACACTTGTCTTTAACCTTTTTCTTATCAGCGCCGTTAATTCTCAGCACGAACTACACGTCCCACGCTTTCACTGCTTGACAAATGCAGTTTCTGGTTTGGGCACAAGCAATTGTGATCGTCCCATTTCAACTAAAGCACGAATACCATCCTTAATCTAAAAGTGTATTCTACCAGATACTACAAACCTTGATCGCCTGTTGAAAATTTCCAGCTGTGAAGTATTGGTGAGCAAGTTTATGAAGGACTTCGGTGCTCTCTGTATGAAAAACAACTCTATCTTTGAAATCGGCTTGAAAAGGAGCTAACTAACGTGTGCTTCAAATACCTGGTAACAGATCTGATAACTCCTTTAAAATTTCAAGGTCTTCTTCTCTTCTTTTTCCCACTGTTAAGGACAAAAATGGCAATAAAACAATAAAATTTATTCAAAACGACAAAATAGCCACTGAGCTGGATCAGCTAACACACAACTAATTACTCAACAATTTTCTCTTAGAGACGTTAACAGTGGAAGAAATACAACTTCACAATGAAGGATTAGATAGTTGAAAGAAAGCTTATGCATTTGCGTTCGTTCTTATAATCCATGAAAATATGTTGAAATTGTTGTGCAAAGAGTTCCAGGCAGTGGGGTCAACGTTTCGAATCATGATGATGCCATTGACCGCAGTCTCAGGTCAAAGTATGGCGTACAATGTTATCGATAGTAATTTCGCATTAAAATGGTTGCGCGTGATTTTACAGGCACTGAACTCACGTTAGAACTGTTAAGTGTATTATTAAACGCAGTAGAGTTATATTAAAACTGTAGCGCTTAGTGTTACAGTTGATACATATGGGTTAGAACTGTTGCGCATGTTACAGACGATGAGCATACTCTAAAATTCCCCACACACCACTGATGCAACAGATATACAACAATAATCTCATACCCAGATCCTACCGTGTAACTGTAACTGAAATGTAGGAATCTGACGACCGCTTGGCCGTGGAAGGTCTGGGCGCGGGACATGACATACAACATATGATACAGTTGCAGCACTGCTTGTTGACTCGCAAATTAAAAGAAACAGATTAATGTCTGTATCTGAGCAACAGCTTACCTGCCCCTCCCCTAACCCATCATATACCCTAATTAGTTATCCCTTGACTGTTGCTGGGTTAGGGGAAGGGTTAAGTGCGCAGTTGATCGTATACTGACATTGATCCTTACATGTAATACGTACATTTATAAAACAGCTTCTCTATTTTTGTAGCAGCGTTGTATTTTTGAATTCCAATGGCCATTGTGTCGCCTATATTCACTGTGCCGTGGTAATATGATTCGGGCTGCAAGAGAGGAAAAGGTGGTAATTTTAGAAAATTGTCTGGCAAAATAGATATCGAGCAGCCTTTTAGCTGTGAGTAATAAAAGTCATTGGAGAAATAAAATAACGTTTGCGCCCCTCGTAGAACTCTGGGAGACGCCTTAATCCCAGAGCAGGGATTGCTCGTAGTTAAGTAACCAGAGGATGAGAGGTCACAAATTTAGTTAAAAGTTATAAAGCGTATACATTCGATTGAAGATGGTGATAGACATTTAAAAAGGAGAGATATTTAACTTACCAAGTAGAGAATTTCGCCCTCCTCTTGAACGCACTCAAGTGGTTTGTCTTTTGGTGGCAAGTTAGGATAAACTTTTTTGATCCAATCCAGTTGAGAAAAACTCGGCCAAACACCTAAAGCAGCAATAACATTTCTTCTGAATCGAGGAAAGTACGACGCCAACTACTCCTTGTGCGAGAGTTTGAAAAGAACTTAGAAACAAAATCAAATGGGAGTAAACTGTTGAACTGAGGGAATTCTAATCTTAGATATTTATTTGTGATGGGGCTCCGCTAGGGAGCTATTGAGCAGAGTGAAGCGAACTCCCACGAATAACCAAAACAAAATTTCTCCTTGTAACATCAATGAAATATCAGCAGACAAGTGATGAATATAAAGAAAAATGTCAATCAAGGGATCGTTGGCTGATCCAATACCAAATTCTCCATACTAATAACACGAGAACTGTATTGCAGATAGTAAAGAGAATTACTAATGAGATCTTGGGAGGAAAAGGGTTGACTGGAGCTTTGGGGTGAGACCCGTGTGGTCTGCGCATGCATAAGGTTTTACCTTCATCTTTACTTACCGCCTGGTGGCGTTTTTTGAGGTGGATATAGGAACCAACGTTTTCGTCCAAAAATAACTCCATTCCATGCATCAGCATGTTTATGAAAACTGACTCCAGAACCAGATCCGCCAAGGAAAAATATACTGGAATCCACACCATCCTACAAAAGGAATTTACTTCAAAACAGCTATTTCTATGTTTACAGAGATCTGTCTCTAAGAAGCCCGTTACATTTTTAAAGCACTTTCTTCAAGGGACACTATGGCACGGCAGTATATCTCTCAGTATTTTATTTTCAGTAGCAGGGGAGGGATGACACAAATATGAATAGTGCACGAGGAGGACTGAGGGGAGAGAACAAAAGCTACACTTTGTGGGGTAGCCAGTGGTTTCGCCTATCACAGATTCGCCCCACCACAGCAAGTTCGCACCGACACGGCAGGTGTGCCCCATTACAGCAAGTTCGCCCCCTCCCCAAAAAAAGAGCTTTACACCCACTAGCTTCATACCTTTTAAAATTCATTTTCTTGTAACCTGAAAAAATGACAACAATTTCGTTCCTGGAAACCCTATTCTTCGCTTCCTTTCGTCAAAAACGTTAAAAGTTTTTCTGATTACCTTTATGTTGAAATACAGTGGCACTCTGATACTCCGTGGTAGATCACTATCGTTATAAAAACGTCTGTCGAAGACGTACCTAACAGTGGGTAAAAATGGGATGAAGAGTGCTAAATCATGATAATATGCAGTGATTGCACTGAAACCCAATGACCCTCTGATTCCTGAAAAAACAGAATTGACCCTACATCCCCACAAGAGTCCTCCTCAATCAATCCACCAAATCTAACAATCAGTCGGCAGGTCGGCCATATTTGATAAGATGCATGCTACACCCAGATTCACGAGGCCATGTAAACGCCACGACATTTGAATATCGTATTCCGATGTAACTTTTCCTTAAGTTTCCACGATTAAATGTATCCAGGATTCAAAATGAAAGAAAACTGCGTAACTTGACACATGTTAGGTGAACTATACAAAAATAATTAAATTAATATTAATTTAATATATAATATTAATATTAAGTTCTGTCTGACGAGCGCTTAGGCGCGAAACTCAGAGTCACGGAGAATCGATGCGTCCTCTTAAATTCTTTAACTTATGTATACCTAGCTCTTCTACCACAGCATTGAGCATTTTATGCCAAGGTAGACTCTACCCCCACATATTTATTAATATTAATATTATCAATTATTAATAGTAAAGAAGTTAGTCGTCAACATCATACTCTTCTGAATTAGAGACTGGTCATTATTTATGACGAGGGGGGGAGGGGTGTGGGGATTTTGGTTGTGCCACGAGAAAATTTAACTGATCCCTCCTCAAGGCCTTGTAGTATTCTTCTGATCCCCATCATTAGCATACAAAGTCTTACAGATGACTGATCCCCCCTCGTCTCCCTGAAAACCAAGTAATCCCCCCTCCAAAAACATTCTCCGACCCCACCCCCCACCCCCCACGCTTCCCAGGGGTTAAAATAATAACTGCTTCCACACTTACATGGGTTCGTCGTTATGTTTCTTTCTATGCATTATCTCTAAATATTCATCAAAGGACGTCTCTGTGTCTCCATTCCCTCCTCTTCGTACTATGTCCTCTGATGTTCCGCTCAGAATAGACCATTGACTATACAACTTCCGCAAACTGGCTTTTGTCCATTTCATTGGATCTGTCCAATCAGCTGCACCGTTGTTAAAATGCACAATTAAGGGTTTCCTATACCTGTAAACTTGTTCAAACTCTTCAGAAGTCAAACTTGATGCATTCCTTCTTTCAATCGTGCAGAAATTCGTGTTGAATTTTTTTTCCTCCTCGACGCTCGCGCGTTGCCATCCACTGACTTCCGCTGAGAGGGGATAGGTTGAATGACTGTTGATTGATGGCTTGATAGGTGGAGGTTGATTAATGACGTAGAAGATGGCAACGCATGCGACAGGGAGTATCAAAGTGGCAGTTACCATATATGGTGAGCTTGAAACATTGTTATGTTGGCCTTGATTTTGATTGGCTCGTCCAGTTTCTCCGTTTTTATCACCAGTAGATTTCGTTGGCTTTGTTTTCCTTGAATTTCTCATCTTTGGAACCTGGAGCTGGATTTTCCCATTCATTAAGCGTAAATGAGTAAGAAATTGGACTGCAAAAGAGAGTTTATACCAAGAAGAAGTCGGTAAAGCAAGTGATTTCAGTTTGTCAAATCATTTTGTTAAAACAGGCCGGAATACTTTACATCATTGACGGCGTCAAGAACAGCTTTTGTATTCATAGCTTTTTCAATTTATCACCGAAAATGTTTTCATCTAAAAAAGTGTAGACAAAGAAAACATTGGTTATTTATCTGGGATTAAAACTTTAATGCGAATTAAGGGGGTTAGTTTCATAAGAATCTGTGGTCCTGTGTCGGTGCAGCTCGATTACAAAATAATTTAATTTTATCAACTGCATGAATCGGCTCTTTACGGTGTCCAATTTACCTTAGCAGTTGATGTAATGCGAATTGTCACTTTCCACCTGGGCTACTGTTAAAATTCCTAAATCATTGCGATTAAATTGCGATAGGCGCCAAACGTAGCCTAATTTTCACACACTTTTTTTTTTTATTTAAATACCTCCTGAACAAACACTTTAATTTAAAGCAAATTTACATTTGGACATTGCGTACAACAACAATAAATAAAAAAAGCGAGCTTGACTTTGACAACAAAATAAGTAACCCAAAACCTCAGTGAAACGTAAAACGAACCTTTTTACATCCGATATGACTTGAACGCTTACATAAACATTTTTACTTTTAAATAATGAATATTTCTCCTCCATTGTTTTCATATGAAGCCTTTTTCGTGAAAACAGTGTCCTTAAGCAGGCTTTCTTAAAAGGTCGAACCGTGAATTTTGGCAGAATCAAGGCAGTTTGAAATGAGGTTCGCGGAATTTCAACCAAGACTTCTTTTCTTTTTTTCGATGAGAAGACGTAACTGGTTACTTTACTTAACGAAAGAGTTAAAAAAAAAAACAAAAAAAAAAACAGCTCATTGATACGATACTGATCTGGGGGAAAAGGAATACACTCTGATGAACGAGGCTTACGACAATCGCTTGAAGCGCACAATCTCTTACCTTTACGATTTAATTCCAAAGACTGAAACCTTTGCTATATTTTGGAAAAAAAGAAAAGAGCTTTCAATTTATGGTGCCCTAGGCTTTGCATGCTTATCGTAACAAACATAATCAACAGATCAATTCGTAATATTCAATTATTAACCAACCAGCCATGAAAATGTACCACTATATTTGTCTTGAGCTTTCAAATTCGTGTGATTTTTTTTTCATCCGCTTGAGATCAGTTTTCCTCGAAGATTTACAAAGGCTCTTTGGAGTGAGTTATGGTGTCAACTTTCAGCCTCTACGTTAAGTCTAACTGTAAATAGGACAATAGATTAGATGATATGGAATTATAAAGGATAAAAATTCCACACGACTCCTCTCAAAACCCAGGAAACCAAATTCATTTTTTATGATATTATGTTGGTTACACGGTCCGACACCTTTTTACGACACTTGACTGAACACAAGAATTCGTCAATCGGCGAACATCTCACTACAGCGCACGGTAGTTGCGATCTTAATAAATGTCATCTTAAGATTCTCAAGAAATGTCAATTAAGGCTTGATAAATACTTTTTTAAAAAAAGAAAAACAAACCGAAAATTGAATGTGTAAGCGGACTCCATAGGTGCAAAACGTTTCGTTAAATTTATGCTATTTATTGTTATGAAACGTTTTCAATCAGCACCTATTGTTATTTTTAGTATTTATAGCCTTGTAAGCTCATCGATTTTTTGACCTGATAATGACGCTATGTTAACGTTCAAACGTCGTCAACTAACTTTTTTTATCCCTGTTTAAACTGTATTATTGTGGTTTTATAGGCATTTATCGAATTTTTTGGTATTTGAACCAAATTTCATGCTGTGAAAAAACCGATAATTAAAAATTTCAATTGCCACGATGAAAAAGATCTTTAATCGCGTTGCAGCCAACTCTTACAATCCTCACCAGGACCTGCGTCATTTGATGAAACGTCAGTCTTTATTCACTCGCCGTGATTAAAGTGAAAAAGGGGACCTTTTGGGTTCATTGTAGAATTTCTTTTTGTTCGCCGCTACCATATTGCATTTGGAAGTAACTGAATGACTTCCATTAACTAATATTGAGTACGTATTGGCAATGAGTATATATTCTTAACTTCTTTCATTTTCGACGTGAACAAGAGCACGCAATTAGTTCCTCGAGAAACCGCTGTGTTGTTCCTGTCTTCCAGCGGAATCCGTCGCGCGAATCTTAAGTGAACGCGGTACCGCGTGAACTCTGGGAATCGAGGCGCACGTAGACACAAAGGGAGTGTTTGGAATCTACTTTCATGCAAGCGAGGAAAAGGATTCAAAATGTCGTCAATAAACACCAAAATAGCCGCGCAAACGGCCGGCTGCCAAACGTCACAGATCAAATCTTAATAGGGAACCAACTAGCCAATCAGCTGTTGTTGCCAAAATAGCCGCTCTGCAGCTCGCAGGAACGCTGGCTAAAATAAGATTTAAGAAAATATTAATAATAATCGGAATAGGGGCATATTTAGAGGATAAATTCTCTCAATTCATCCTCACCTTAATACCGCGAGGATTTTAATTTTTTAGGGGAGGAGGAACCATCATGAGACATCATAACATTTTTGCCTCACGTGACAGTCACGCAAAGTTAATTTGCTCGGTTAGTCGGTTGGGAGTCAACGTGCAAACATGGCCGCAAGTTCACGAGATATCATTGTCAAAGAAGAAGAGGAACAAGATGATACCCTAGACTATTCAGAAGACAGTCTTCGTCAAAAAACGACCGTAACTGCCATTGGAAAAGTGAGTTTCTCTCAATTCATGAAAGATATTTTGCCTGGGTTACAACTCCCTAAAACAGTGCTCGATAAATTTGTCAGGTGTTCTCGTCGACATGAAGTTTATATTTCGTATAATGTTTTCGCTCCATATTTTTTTACATATCGTGTCTCTCTTTCTCGTTTTCTATTAGGGGTGAATTATGATAATTGCAACCATTTTTAAAGAGGTTCCTCTCTAGTTTTCTTTGAAAACTCCAATTTTGAAACATTACGCGCGCAGCTTAGTATGTTTAGTTAAGTACGCCTGAACTAATTTCACCAACATGTCAGTTAATTTCAGTTTCAGGCGTAAATACTGTTTCAGTCTTTATAGAATAACTTAGTCAAAATCTCTTTTTCAAAAGATTAGCGCAAATTGGCACACAATTTTTGTTTTGTACGAAAATTTAAAGCAGCTGTTATTGGGAAAGTGTTTGTTGACCTTTGTGTCTCTACATCTTCCAAAAATGACGTTGCTTGCTGTATACAAATTTTACGTCTTCTTCGTTTAGTAGGACATGCCCTATTTTTTTTTTTAATAAAAGGTTGCTTTTATCTCTTTTACTAAAGAAATCTGTTTGTATTTCTGCGCGCTTGCATTACAGTCTGGGAGATTGGAGAGAGGGAGGGGGGGGTGGGAGATGGTTGGGTCTATGCGTATGCTGTTGTCTCTGGGTTGTCAAACCTTCTGTAGCCAGGTTTTTCACGATACAAACTCGCGCAACAAAAATTTAAGTTCAGTGAGACTAGTAGAAAGCATACACCAGCTGAAGTTCCAATTTGTCTTCTTATATAAAAATTTATGTTATTATAATTGTAACACAAACTTGTGTGTAACAATTATCTAATGATATGTGGGGCTGTGGTTAAACCTGAAATAAGCCATTTTTTAACCAAAGCTTGTATTAAGTTGACTTTTCTAGTTTGTTTAATTATGTCCAATGAATACAAGTTTCCCTTTAGAAAACCTCCAGACTATGACCTTCTTAGGCTAATTTGGAATTATCAACTGAGTTGATAATGTAAATTGGCCTCCATAAAGAGTTTAAAAGCTAATGTTTCGTTCGTTAGCCCTTCATTAGAGTGAAGGTCCATCAGAATGTCAACATTTTCAACTCAGTTGATAATACTGAATTACCCTGTTATACTCTGCCACTGACACAGGACCACAGTTTCTTTAGAAACTTGCCCCCTGTATTCATGAGCTTCATACTCTATTTGGCTAAAACTGTTCCATGTCCCTCGGTGACTCTCACAGCAAAGTAATGAAGATCCTTTCCTTTTATAGGTTAAAACCTTTGCAGGTCTTGAGGTGGTTGAGTGGATATTTCTTACCATTTCAGTCATAAATGTGCTTGTTGCAATTGGACTCACCATAGACAGATTAGTGGAGCTTGAGAAAAACAAACCAGACTACACCTTTGCCATCATCCTCTTCATTAACATAAGTATGAACCAGCCTTTGCTATCATCCTCTTTATTAGCATAAGTATGAACCAGCTGTCACTCTTTGAAGAATGAAAGTGTTGAGTTAAGTTCACTAAACCAAACCAATGAAAAGTAGAAAAATGTCTGATACCTCTCTGGCATATTAAATAAAATCAAGTTATTCATAGTTTTTTTTTTTTTTAAAGTCCATCACTGCATCCTATCTTTTGACATGGTCTCAGATTGGGAGTTACATTTTGGTTTCTTCCAGCTAATTACATGTACTTGTTTAGCTGAAACTCTGGTTCACAAATGAAAATCATTCTTTTAAGCAGACACTTCAAATCCATGTTGAGGTGTACTGGAGCTCCAGCTTATAAAACTGTTTGTTTTCCATCAAAATGACACCATTACTTTTATTGACACCATTTATTTTCAAAAGTGATGCAAAATGCTTCCTTCCATGTTATTTCAAGATAGCCTCTCTTTGGCTTGCTGATTAGCTTTTTTTTTTTTCTTCACCCACATGCTAAGTCAAGTTACCTTGTCATCTCATTGAGTAGAGTGTACCTTGTTATTATGTTTGATTAAATATGTATATATATATATATATATATATATATATAAATTATGTATGTGGTTTTTTTCTTTACCTGTAGTTTTCTGTTTCTTCTATGCTGTCCATGGAATATTGAGAGAGAGAGAATTTGAATTGTATGCTTATATTGCGGGTATTGTTGTTCTTCTGAGCTATATTTGTATTGATCTCATTGTCAACGAGAAAAAAAAAAGGACTACTCTGAAATGGGTGAGTATGACACAATTCCGTTTTATATATGCTAATGACCCATGCAGTAACTAGAAATTTTTGACAGGGGTGGTGAAGGAGCAATGAAATAATTGCTAACTGTCTCTAGCTCTTGCTCAGCACATTTAATTAACCCTTACACTTCCATGATCTTATTAGAAAATCTCCTTACTGGCTGCCATATAATTCTTAAGTTGTTAGCTTGGAGAATTTGGTATTGGATCAACTTAAAATTCCCTAATTGATACTTTTCTTTATTCTTATCACCTGTCTGCGTGATCTTGCACTGATATTGTAAGGAGAAATTTTGTGTTTATCACTAGCGGGAGAAGGATTACGAAGGGTAGGAATTTTCAAAAAAAATAATGACAAAAGTATAAGGAAGTGTACACCGATGATTTTCCTTGAACTTGGTTTCCTTCAGATCTTACTAGTAATTCTCCTTACTGTCTGTTAAATGATTCCCATCATGTTAGTTTGGAGAATTTAATATCGGATCAATTAGTAATCCCATAATTTATATTTTTTTTATTCTCATCACTTGTCTGCATGATATTGTATACTTTTAGATATAGTAAGGAGAAATTCTGTCTTGGTCACTCTCAGGAGTTAAAGGGTTAAAGGCAAGCAACTTGGTTGTGGAAATAAGTTTGGAAGAATTTGTTAGTGACCAACATCAAACTACTCCAGTTTCTTTACCAGAACTGAATAAAACATTAAGGCCGTCATGAGAAAAAAAGGAATTGATCACCAACTAAAGAAAGCTCTTGATTCATAGACAAATTCTCCTATCAGTACTGTAGGAAATACATAGAGAATGGTATGGAGAACATGCATTCTGATGTTGGGGTGTAAAGGGTATAAAAAATTTCATCGAATAAGTTGCTGTTCCAATAGTTATGGCCATGATGATGTGTGTACAGCTGCTGCTTTATAAGCCTTGTTCATTTGTTTTTTTTTTGTTTGTTTATCCAATTGTCCTTTTTTCTCTTATCCATTGACTTCTCTTATCATGGTTGTATCTTATAGATCAGGTTTGGAGCAATTTTAGTCCTTGGCCCTCCAAACATTTATTTTGGCTTCAGAGTTGCTCGGGATTTTGGTTTTTTAGCCTTCAAGGTGGTGGGAGCCTCAGAATCATTACACAGTATGTTATAACAATATGATATCATTATTGCACAGTTTAAATTAAATATTGATTTCAAAATAATATTAATTGTTGTACAATAGGATAACAATAATATGGAAAAATGAAGTTTTTGTGATGTCTCTCTTCAGTTTGTTAAAACATGTTCCTACTACGACCAATCATTTATCAGCTAAGTGTACCCATGCTGGAGAGCATCGATAAACTGGTGGACATTTTGTTTCTTTAGAACTGTTTGCAAGAACCACTATTAATATTGACAAGGATTTGAGCTTGTCTGCTGATGATCAGTGTTTAAAATTCTGACCACCAAGAGTCAATTCTGGGTTGCTAAATGGCAACCAATTGATGGCAGTTATGGACCCTGAATTTTTTTTTAGTATATATAAATTGTTTTATATAATAAGCTCAGTTATGCATGCATTTTGATTGGTTCTCACTTATGATCTATTGGAGGACAGATGTATAGATGACATCATCATTAAAACTTTCATTTCCGTATATTTAATTCTTTATTATATAAAACAAATAGATTCCAAGTTGCTATGCGTCTGTTCAGTAATAGATCACAGAGAACGTCAAAATGTGGTAAGAACATCAGTGACACACTCGGCTGCACCTTGTGTGCCACTTTTTTGTTCTTACCACATTTTGATGTCATCTGTGATCTATTACTGAACAGATGCACAGAAACTTGGAATCTATTTGTTAAATATATATATATACCAATTGCACTGGGTCTCATTAAGCATTAAAGATGTGGTTGAATATTTCATTGTTTTGGAGCTCTGATCCTGAATTGCCAATCTGTACTTTGAAATATGTTTCAGGGATGTACAGATATGCGGGAATGTTTTCCTGTCTTCTGAAATTTGACCTTCAACTTGCGGTGAGTCTTTTTTGATATGGGTTTCACTTTAAAATCTTTTTCTTCCTAATGGTGTCCAAAGAGAAATTTTCCACTTGAAATCTTCGATACACTAACTACCTAGCATTAATGCTTTCAAAGCAGCTTTAGTTAAATATTATAAAAAAGCACTTGTTGAAATGTTTGATCAGGATAATGTTTTTACTTGGAAATCATTGTGTCCCAAGTGCTATTCCATTAGGAATTTAAGCAGTTTTCATTAGTGTTGTTTTTAGTAGATATTAATAATTATTAATCATAAAATAAGAACAGATATATATTTTTTGCATGTAAATTCTTATATTATATACATATATTTTGATATTTTAGTGTATTATTTATTTTATTTGTATTTTGCTTAAATTCTCCCCTATCATTATTTTTATTGGACTTTTACCTAGTTGGAGCTTGCTCTGTTGTGACTGTCCCTCACGGAGTTTTTTCTCTTCACTACTGTTATTTTTGGTTTTTCTTTACTTCTTCTTCTTCTTTTACCAATTTACTTTAACTGTCATCTAACTATTATTTATCATATTAGTATGTTATGAAAGTCGAATAAATAAAAAATATCTGTAACACTAAGAATAAATTGTCCCTCTTGACACACTGTTACAAATGCATTGTCTCTACAGGTTAGCCTGGCCATTTTTGTGATCTACAATGTGAAAGATCTTGTTGTTGGGGATAAAATTACAGTGGGTGTTGGTATCCCGCTCCAGTTAGCTTGGAGCATCTTGGGTTGGTTTGCGGTAAGTATTTCTGGTGTTACATCAGGGCGTGAAATTAATTTTTTTTTTCTGATAGCCACTTGGCCCCTAAATTCTTCAAGGTGGTACAATTCAAAAAAGGTTGGTTGCCATTTTCAAAGACAAACAAACCTTTCTTTTTTTGTTCTAGACCCTCCAAAATTAAGTTAGGAAAAGGATCTTTAACTTGCTACAAAGTGGACACTAGAATGGATGATATACAATGTTTCAGCTCACCTAAATCCAAGATGGCATCTAGTTATCAATCAATTGAGGAAGTTTGCTGTGGATTTACCTTTACAAATATTTTTAATTTACTATATCTCTTGGTAAGGTTATGATGAAACATTCTAGTCACCAATTTGGCGACTAATTTTCGGGATTTGGTTGCCAAAGTGAAAAATTTGGTCACATTGGTGCCAGTATTAGGTGCAATTTCATGCCCTGTACAGTCATGATCATGAAACAAGCACATGCCTCTATGTAAATTGTTAATTTGTTTTAATGGTGATAAAGATATATAGTGACATCATTTGTTTGAAATCAGTGATGATGATGATAATGATGATGATAACTATTAATTAATCATTTTTGCTGCCTTAAGGAAATTTAGTGTGAGGTTTGATAAAGCCTGGTTAAAAAAAAAAAAAATCAAGAGACTTGCAAATTTTCAGACTTGGTTCCACTTTTACTTACTATTTTTTATTTCTTCAAGATGAGAAAAGAACGAATGATACTAGTGCAGTTCTTCATCCCTCTAAGCTTTGTGGAACCTTGCTACTTAATCTACAAAATATATAAGGTTTGTTCTCTGTCTGGCTTTTGTTCAGTCACACGTTTCCTTTGGAAAATAATTGTATTAGGCTTCTGTTTTTACATCCTCATTGCCATTTACTTCAGATCAAGTGACAATTCCTTTGAGAATTGATATTGTGTATTGATTTTCTCACTCAGCTAGATGTAACATGGGTATGAAGGAATAATGAAAAATTTTAAACTAACAATAAGGATGTAATCATGTCATGATCTGTATGGGGTGGTAACAAGGTTATCACTAATTTTTTGGAATAAGTGCTATGCTTGTTATGACTGCCCTTCCCCAAATAGGCACCCACCCACCCCCAAGACCATCATTTCAAACAAGTGCTCACCCCCTGCTTCTCCCTTCCATTCTTAAATAGTAGGGATACAAGGAAAACCTATTGATATTCATCTTTTATTTGTAACATTTTAAGCTTTGACTGTTGCAAAATCAGTAACGGAGAATAACAAGCACCCCTCAATAAGAAGGGGCCCCCCTAAGTGCTTCCTCCCTCTCCCCTTTTAGCTGAAATTTGAAACAAGTACGCAGTTGCTTATTTGGGGAAATACAATAATCATGTTTGCCAAATATATGTATTAAACAATGTGATAGTGTGATAATAATTACTTATCTGTACGTTATGCAAATTTGATTGGTTTGTTTGTGTGTAGGTGGCAAACAAATGGGATGATGTCACTGCTTGTGGTAAAGATGTTCTTGTTTACTCTTTCTTGGGGGCAGGTTTGTATAGTCCCACTTTTTGAAAGTAATTATGGCTGGAAGTTATTCAAATTTTTTATCAGGGAAAGGTGGAAAGGCTGAAGGTTGCCTTTTTTCTTTTTTTACCCATCTTTCTCACAAGGTTTCATCGGCAGGGCGTGAAATTGCGCCCAATACAGGTGCCAATGTGACTAAATTTTTCACTTTGGCAACCAAATCCTGAAAATTAGTCACCAAATTGGTGACTAGAATGCTTCATCGTAACCTTACTTAGAGATAAAGTGAATTAAATTGGACATCCTAGTGTTCAATTTGTAGCACGTTAAAGATCTTTTTCCTAACTTAATTTTGGTGGGTCTATCTAGAACGCTAACAGCATTAAAAAAGGTTTTATTTGTCTTTAAAATGGCGACCAATTTTTTTTGAATTGGCCACCATTTTGAAGAATTTAGGAGCCAAGTGGCTATCAGAAAAAAAAAATTAAATTCACACCCTGATTGGTAATTCTCCCTACTGCCTGCTATACAATTCTAGTGATGTTAGTTCTGAGAATTTGATATTGGCTCAATTAATAATTCCCTGATTTATATTTTCCTTTATTCTTGTCACTTTTCTGCTTGATTTTGTATCAATGTTGTGTTTTGGTCACTCATTGGAGGTTGTACCTTGGGCCTTCCATGGTCTGGTCATTCATGGGTTTCAAAACAAGCCAGTAACTGCTGCAGTTCTGCTGGCTACTTGATAAAATGATGCTGGTTACTCTGGTCAAAATATTTTCCTTTTGGCCCCTAATGAACCTTTTACAGTTGCCTACTTTTGCAGAGTCTGATACCTACTTCAAAACATTTTGAAACCTCTGCATAAATTTGCTGAATTCTTGGGCAAGACATTTAACCTTTATAGTAGCTCTGTTCATCTAACAGCTTTCTCTATCTGTGTCAAGTTCAGATTTTTTCTGAAATTAATATCATTTAGCGTGAAAAATCAAACCTCTTTTAGGTGCTTACTTCACAGTTTTTGCCTTCTTTTTAAAACTGATTGAAACTTCTCATAGCAATAGTACATATCAATTGCGATAAACTGTGAGAGAAACCTTCAAAACTGCTGGGGTAGGAGTCCTTTTAGTAGCTTCATACCTCTGAAACATGTGGAAGCTCTAGTAAGATAGACCCTCTGTCTCAATCAGGTAACTTATGATTGATAGGTAGTTTAGTGTTAACAGCTGCATTGAAAATACAAATTGGCCACTGTAAATATAGTAAGAAAGCTGACATTTCAAATGTTCACCCTTTGTCAGAGTTATTGACTCTTCTTAACCCCTAAACTCACAGAAATGATTGATAGTTATTTTCTCCTTGTGATATCCATACATTATCCTGCAAACAAGTAACAAGAATACTTAAACTTATCAGATGAAAGTTGTTATCTTGATCTAACACCAAATACTCATAATTAATTTACAAGGACATGTATAGCAGCTAGAGGAAAGAATTAACAATCGAAACCTTGGAGTATAAGAGTCAATTATCAGTTTGGGCATCCTTTTTTTTGGTTGCCTAAAGGTGAAGAAGGGGGTAACACAACCTCCAGATGTACAAGTTGTCTTACATTCTCATATCTTTTCAGCTTCATTGGCATTTATTGTGCGAGTGCTGGTTTTGGTCGCTCTGAACTTTGTTGTGAACAACTTTGGAAAAGGACTGAAAGAGATTGGTAAGTATGGTAGCATGAGACCTGTTTTTTGCAATGAAGTGTTAACCTTTTTCAGGCTTGGCTGCTTGTGACTCAGAGCACCAATGCGAGCGCACTTGCTTGGTCTATGAGTGTGAGATCCGGTGTTAGGCTTATAACAGTCACAGCACTGGACTGCAGGTTGAGAGGTCCAAGTTTGAGACCTGGCACAGTCAAAGTGTTGTGTTCTTGGGCAGAACATTTTCCTCTCACAGTGCCTCTCTGTTCCCAGGAGTATAAATGGGTAACAGAAAATTGTCAGGGAAGCCTGATGAATTACTGGCAAGTGACCTTGTAATGGACTGGCATTCCTCCCAGGGGGAAGTAGTAACACTTCTAGTTGGTTCATGCCAAGGAAATCTGGTTAAGCTCTGGCTAGGTGGGCCATAAAAAAAAATTACTTATCTATGTTTTTTTGTTATTAATTTAGTGTTTAACCTGTCAGTGACAGGAGATGAGTCTCCAATGTTTCCAAGAAAAAGAAAGACAGCAAAGTGTTGTGGAATAGTTTTCTGTGGGCCATTTGGATGAGAAACTAAGATGGGAATTCCTTGCAAAGGACAAGAAAACTTCATTTAACCCTTTAACTCACATGAGTGACCAAAACAGAATTTCTCCTTACAATATCAATACAATATCAACCAGATAAGTGATGAGAATAAAGGAAAATATCAATTTAAGGATAATTAAGTGATATAATACTAAATTCTCTGAACTAACCCCATAAGAATTGTATGGTTGACTGTAAGGAGAATGACAAATTTGATCTGGGAGTTAAAGGGCTAATTAGTATTAATAATAGAGATGTAGCTTGTAAACTCATGGAGTGTAATTTAAATTTTACCCTGCAAGCCTTAAGCTTGTATCACCCATGCTTGTGACAAGACAAAAAAAATCTCTCTATTTCTTTATCAATCTCAAAACTGACCATCTCTCTTATTCTCTTTACAAACATGACGATATCAACATTGCTTATCTTAGCAGTATGCAGGACATGTGTCTATTACTTCTTAACAGGCCTCAATCATCATAGTCTCTGTGGCTCGGTGGTAGAGCATCAGAATGTGGAATCTGAAGGTCTGAGGTTCAATTCCTCATGGGGACTCAGATTCTTGTCGTGACAAGATGAAAAAACATCTTTCTCTATTTCTTACCAAGCTCAAAACTTACCATCTCACTTATTCTATTTACGAGCCTTAAGCTGTGAAAGTATAAAAAAAACCAACTTGTCAGAGTAGGGTTCACTTTGTGTAGAGTTATGAAAATTTAACATTTTTTATTCAAAACCTTTGTCCAATTGGATTGGTGGTTAATACTCTTGAAATTCAACTTTAGATGGTACTCAGTATTCATATACCACTGATCATATATCCTATTTAACAGTATTAATTAGTTGATTAGAAGGAATTCAATCTTAGTTACCCCTTGAGTTTCTGTTTTGGTAATTAAGTTCAGCTCCCAGCATGTAGAGCAGCTTTTTAATGCTCAATCATTCTAAACTGATCATGCTTGTAATGCAAAGGTATTAAAATACCAACTAGTCAGAGTAGAGTACACTTTGTGTAGGGTTATAAAAATTTAACTTTTTTCATTCAAGACCTTTGTCAAATTGGATAGGTGGTTAATACTGTTGAAATTCAACTTTAGATGGTACTCAGTATTCATATGTCACTGATCATATATCCTAGAAGGAATTTAATCCTAGTTATCCCTCGAGTTTCTGTTTCGGTAATTAAGTTCAGCTCCCAGCATGTAGAGCTTTTTAATGCTCAATCATTAAATTTATCATGCATGTAATGCAAAGGTATGAAAATACCAACTACAGAGTAGAGTACACTTTGTGTAGAGTTATGAAAATTTAACTTTTTTATCCAAAACCTTTGTCAAATTGGATAGGTGATTAATACTG